TGGCCGTGGCCGGGGACACGGTGTCCGTGAGCCACAGGGTTCTTCTGAGATGAGGTCTCTCATTGTGTTCCCTGAGGGTGTAGGCCCTCACTGTGCACCCCCTTTCCAGTCTGAGGGACGCGCTCTCCAGCATTTGCTCTCTAAAGCACTTTGAGGGATTGGGGATGTGTTTCATGTGGTGGAACTCTTATCCTGGGTTTGATCCCCAACATGTAAACAGCAACACCGACAAAGTGCTTTGGAGGATGAGGGGTAGGGGTGGGGGCATTAACCTCCCACTCAGCTCCAGGTGCAGGAACTTCTGAGACATGGTGGCCTTCCCTGCAGCCCATCTGTTTTTGTTGTTGTTGTTTTATTTTGTTTTCTTGTGTGTTTTTTGTTTTTGAGACAGCATTTCCCATAGCCCAGGCTGACCTCAAACTCACTCTGTAGCCAAAGATGACCTTGAACTTTTCTTTGTACATCTCTCTTTCTGTCTCTGTGTCTCTGCCCCTCCCTCTTTGTAACAGAGTCTCACTTTGGCTGGCCTGGAACTTGCTATTAGACCAGGCTGGCTTTAAACTCCCAGAGACCCACCTGTCTCCCCCAGTCTCTCCCGAGTGCCTGCATGACAGGCATGGGCCATTAAGCCTGGCTTCCTATCTTGTTTTCCTACTGCCCATGTGGTTTGTCGTCTTTCTCTCGCTGCAGCACATAGCCTTGCAAAGTCTGCGTAGCAATTCATCCCTCACAGACTCAGGTCCCACATGCTGAGGAGCTTTGTGAGGTTCTCATTTGCAGCACACACCGGGAGAAGGCTAGAGGAAAGGGAAGCAGGAAGGAAGCACAGGCGAGGTCAGGGAGGGAAGCTCCCAGCCTCCTCAGCTCAAGTTGGCTCTAACCCCTCAAAGTCTCTCCCATCCTGCCTCCTTCCTCTGGCTCTGGGCCCTGCTGGGGGGTTTTGGGGGAAGCTGAGGGCTGTGGAGTTGAGGACAGGATAGTTCAGGAGGAAGCAGAGATCACTACTCTTGCTGAGAAAGGAGAGAACCTGCCTCTTCTCTGCCTACTTTCTCCATATTTGAAGAGCTGCCTCCTTTCTCCACATTTAAAGAGCTGGCAAAGGTGGATATCCTGAGGTTAGGCCCTCCCAAAGGCCCCGGGCCAAATAGGGAGGTGTTGCACTTCCTTTACAAGTGCTTTGCCAGGGTCAGATGGAGTTCAGTAGGGGCTTTCTCAGGAGGTGAGGTAGGCTTGTGCTCTGTGGGCTCTGAGGCACCTGGGCTGGTTGCCATGCCTGCAGGGTCATTGAAGACCCTTCCTTTGTTCCGTCATGGCTGGCTGGCACTGGTCCTCCTGACCATTCTCACAGTGTTGTCATTTGACAAGACGGGGCTGGAGTGGGGTGGAGGAATGTCACTATAGCTCAAGAGATGCTATTTGTCTTGCCACAGTCCAACCCAGCCTGAACAATGCCAGTTTTTTCCACATGAGACCAAGATGTAGCAGCTGCAGGGAACAAGCCAATCACTCCAACCTTCTCTGTGACAGAGGGACAGATGTTCTGTTTAAAATGTCTTCAGTGAGCCAACAAGGGCATTCTTTTTGTTTCTGGGGCTTCCCTAGCCAAAACTGGGGAATTAGTCAGAAGACAGCTGCAGAGGTGTGGCCTTGGGAAAATCCTATCCAGTGCACAGTATGGCCTCAGGGAAAACAGCTTGCCTGCCTGACCTGCATTTGACCATAATGTCTGCCCAAGAGTGTGAAGTAAGAGCTGGGCTCAGGAACCTGGAGTAGATGTACCTGGGCTTCAGATTTGACTGGACCACTTCTTTGCAGTTTGTGTGTGGGCTACTTTCTTTCAGAGGCCCATTTCCACATATGCGGTGAGGGGATGGGCTTCCCTTGTATCCAGCACTACCTTTGGGATTAAATATGGGAGGTGATTAAAGCATCCATGGCACCAAGAAGCAAACTCCAGGGCCCAGGAATAGCCAGCCCTCTCCTCTTACAGAGCAGCACTGGCTAGAAGATTTTCTGTCATTACAAATTCATCATAGGTGGGTGGCACCTAGGTATAATGAGGGTTGGTGTAGGATTGGTAGAGAGAGGGAACAGGGGACACACAAAGGAAGAACAGGAGTAAAAGGCAGGAGAGAGGGCTCAGCAAAAGTGTTTGCTGTATAAGCCTGAAGACCCGAGTTCATATCCTTAACACTCATAGGTGCGGGTTGGGGAGGAGAGCAGCTCAGGCTGGAGAGATGGCTCAGTGGTTAAGAGCCCTGGCTGTTCTTCAAGAAAATTTGGGTTTGATTCCCAGAACCCACCTGGCAGCTCACAACTGTCTGTAACTCCAGTCCCAGGGGATCCAACACTCTCTTCTGGCATCCATGGCTCACACAGGGTTCAGAGACATGCAGGCAAACAAAATACCCACCTCCACAAATCATTTTTAAAAAGCTGGTGTGGCTATGTGACATGTACCTGTATTCCTAGTGTTGGGGTGGGCCGAGGGCAACAGGAGGATGCTTGGGGCTTGCTGGCCAGCCAGTCTAGTCAAACTTCAGTGAGAGATCCTGTCTCAACAAATAATGTGGAGAACAAAGAGGACACCAGGCATCTCTGACTTTCATGAGTACCCACCCATGTATGTGCATACAAAAGGGAGAAACACACAAACACACAACCAGAAAGAGAAGGAGGTAGGGAGATCTGCTAGAGTAACGCCTTGGGAACCAGTGAGAACATTGGTGTCTCCAGGAGCTCCTGGCTTTCTGCCCTTCAGATCTCCCCTGGGTGAGGCACTCTGGGTCCCAGGAGAGAAGCCTCAGCCAAGGTATGAGGGCATCTCTCAGTACCTCTAAGACTTCCCCTTACCATCCTAGAGCCAGTATGATGAGCCTTGGTCCAAACTTCAGTAAACATTAGAGATGGGCAATTCATCGATTTGTGCTCTTCAGGACTGAATTTCTTCATCTGAAGAGTGGGAATAATCATCCCAGACTTGCCTGCTCACAGGACTGTGGTGAGCATTCAGAGTGCTTGGTGAGGTGCTGCCCAGGGGTGGGGAAAGCAGATAAATGGCTTCCTTCCCATGAAGCCCGCTATAAGCCCCTGTCCCTTCAGGCTCAGAGACCACCTGGGACCTTGGCAATCCATGGCTTGGCTGGTTCCTACTCCATCTTTCTTTTCAGCTTAAATGCTATTCCTGCAAAGCGAGCTCCCAGTCTCTGAGTGTGGTCTCTTCTTGCTGGCTCCTGTCACTTGCTGCAATTCCCTTTGCATCATGTCTGAGTTGATACTGTAGTTGACTGAGATACTGTACTCGATCTTAAGCTCCACCAGAAAAGAGAAGTTTCTGTTGTGTACCCACCCATTATCACCAGGAGCACTGTCTCAGGCACAGGGAATAAAATCCTGCTGAGCGAGCCAAGGCCATACCTGCCTCAAGACCTTTCCATGCCTCAGCCAACGTCTGGGAGGCAACACCTGAGGCTCATTGCCACCCATTGCACTCCCCCCTACCCGTTATAAAAACAGTGGAAGCAGGGCATGGCGGTATATGCTAGTAATTCCAACAGTGGGGGGTTGAGGCAGGAGGATGACAAACTCTGGGCCAGCCTGGGATACATAACAAGATGCTATCCTAAAAACCAAACCAAACCAAACAAAAACAAAAAAACCAGCATCAGGGAAGGTTGATTATCTCTCTTCCCTCTCCGTTCGAGGAAGACTAGATAACAGCTGCTCCTTTCCGGTCTCTCAGCACTTCAGGCCCGCCTTGGAGCCAAAGCCTGTAGGTAGTTGCTCTGTTTATTTATTTATCTTTGCACAAGGCTGACCTCTGCTGGTTGCCCATGCAGGAGCAACCAGGACTGGAAAGGATGGAAATCTGTGACTCAGTCAGGAGCCAGGGATCGCCAGAGGGCTTGCAGGAGAGAAGTCAGGTCAGTTCTCCATCCTTCTGGATGGGTCCCTTCAAATGAACAGGAGATACTAGGAAAAGCAAGAAATGAAGGACAGTACCACAGGGACTGTACTCACCAGCCATGGGTAGTGTAGGGTCAGGGAGGACTAGTTTAAACATAGTTCTTTGTCCTTAGTGTGCTGGCAAGCTTTTTAAGAGCTAACTCTCAGCACACACACACACACACACACACACACACACACACACACACACACGCACAAACATACTCTCTCATACACTTACACAGACACACATTACTTCTCTCTCTATCCTTCTTCTCTCCCCCGCTCTCTTTCTTTCTCTCTCTCACACGCATACACACACACACCCTGTTTTACAGCACTCATTGATTTCCAGGCTGTAAATATCCCACTATGGCCAGTTTCAAACTAATCAACACAATGCCACCAAACGATCTGAGAAGATTGTTTGCACACCATTGTTTGGAATGTCTACCATGAAGGTACTGTGACATAAATAACTTCAAGACGGGGTTAACTCATTGGGAAGTGGTGAGTTTTGAGGGTTCATTCCAGTTGTTTTCAGTATAATATATTTAACTGCAAGGTTATATAATTTGATTTTTCATAATGGCTGTGTTTAATAACTGAGCTGCAAAATTCTGGAAAATGTAATTATCAGTCTTGTCAGCCTAGCAGTCAGAAAGACCAGACTCCAGCACACTGATGCTCCTCTTCTCCCACCCTCCCCTGTGATCCTTGCTTCAGCCCCTCTGCTGCCTCCTCTTCCTTCTCTTTCTTTCATGGCTCTCCTGGAATTCTGTGTGGGAAGACGGGGATGGAGAGCTTGGAGAAGCTCTCTGCTGTGGATGCTGCTGTTCTCTGAGCCAGGAGCCATAAGGTGTAAGAAAAGAGGAGGAAGAGATTCAAATTCAGTGGCTGAAAGCTGTGTGTGTGTGTGTGTGTGTGTGTGTGTGTGTGTGTGTGTGTGTGGTGAAGCTGCAACTGCCCGAAACTTGGACTACAGGTGACTATTTGGGTGCAGGGAGAGAGTGCTCTGTGAGCCTCTGAGTACTGTACCTGGGAAGAGAGCTCAGCTAGGTGAAGCGGCCCACAGGGAGCCTTGGTAGGCAAAAATAGGCCTCTGGGAAAAGGCTCAGATTGATGGGGTTTCCATCCAGGCGAATGTCTTCTAGCTGCCGGCGCTCATGCCTGTGTTCCCTGGAGTCGCAGAAGGCGTCTCTTTCCATGGTCTTGATCATGTTATTCTGGAAGGAACAGTGTGCACTGCAGGGTCAGCGCCTCCCAGGCAGCTCAAGAAGCTCAAGAAGGCAGAGCTGAGGCCACCCAGGACAAGGGAAGAGGCCGTTTGTGGAGAGTGAAGAGAGAGGGGGAAGAAATTAGAAAAGATGAGAGAAGAAGAGCGGAGAAGTGTGGAGACCCTAATTGGATGGGAAGAGACAAGAGGGAGGGAAGGTGAGGTCATGAATACTGACGTGTAAGGGAAGGAGATGTTTTTAAAAGGAGCGGAGAACATCATTTCTACGACCATGCCTTGAGTTCCCCTGTTATCTGCCTTCCACCCTACACACGATCAAGGCCCCTCACCTGCAGGTGCAGGGAGCGCAGGCTCAGGGGCAAAGGCCCAGGAATGGAATCCAGTGAGTTGTCTGCCAGGTAGAGAAACTGAAGCTTCTCCAGCGCCTGTGGGGACACAAACCACAGGAAACCGCTGTGTCCTCTCAGGCTCTTTTCACAAAGAGGTGCTCCAGCAGGCCAGCATCAGGCGGTCCTACTCATGGGGTGCAGCTGTCCCTGCCTGTCTGTCTCTGTGTCTCCATTTGTCTGTGTCTCTGTCTCCTCTCCCTCTCCAGAATCTTACTCTGTACCTCAGGCTGGCCTGGAATTCTTGATGTAGCTCAGGCTGGCCTCAATCTTGTGGTCCTTCTACTTCATCCTTCTGAGCCCTGTGTGCTCCACCAAGCCCAGCTAAGGACTCCATTTTGATGCCAAAAGAAAGCTGCTGTCATTGAGTGCTGGCAGCTTGGGAGCGTAAAAGAGCTGTTGTTAGTGCTGGCTGGGGGACCTGGCTAAGGCAGGAACAGGTAGAAAGAACAACCAAGGGACATTTCAGCTCACGCTCAACTTCTCCACCGCCACTGAAAAGTCTCCCAAATGCTCCGCTCAGGGTGGATATGCAGAGCATGCTCAGAGGGTGTCAGAGTGGCAGAACGGAACTCAAGGCATGCAGGCACCATGGAGCATGTGAGCTTAACAGCACTGTCGGAATCAGGGAGGGCTGATCAGAGAGGAGCTGGGGGGAGAGATCAGCCTCCAGGGGCTCAGAGAACAGTGAGGAACTAGCTACCTCTCAACAGAGCATCCACTACCTACATTCAATCACCCTGTGATCTGTGCAAATGCTGTCTTCAATCCTGCAGAGGCTGTGTCAAGTGGCCATTATCACCCTCCTTTTGTAGACCAGGAAACAAGATCAGAGGTGACTCACTCAGTGAGCTCAGGTCCTTTGGCTCCAAAGCCCCTGCCTTTCCTGAGCCAAGTAAACAGGCCTGCGTGAAGGCAGAGAAGCACCTCCTAATATGGAAACAGCCCAGGCTTCTGAAGGCTGGGGCAGCCAGAGGCCTCCCTGCGCAGACGGTGCCAGTACTTCCTGCACAGCGAGGAAAGCCAATGTGTGCAGCCTTTGCATCCCGCCCACCGGCGGCACGGACACTGTTCTCTATATCCTCTGTAGGTCCACAGCACACGGGAGACTGGGAGGGTGGAAGGCATTTGTGAGGAAGAGCAGTGACAGAGCAAACACACAGCTCTTGGTGAGGGCGGTGATACGCTGTACTTTAGTACTCAGCAAGCTGAGGCAGGAGAACAATGAGTTTGAGGGCGTCCTGGACTACAAATTAAGACCCTGGTCTATGAATACGTACATACGTACATACATACATACATACATACACACACACACATATATCCATTCTTACTATTTATTTACCTGTTTGCTGCTTCTAAGTATGAATTTGTTTGCAAAAAGGAGCCTGCTACAGTTGAGCATTGCTTAAGGGCTCTGTATTCTGAAATTGAGCATTGCATTCTGAGAAATGTGTCATTGTGAAATTACTTACACAAACCAAGAGTGCTACAAAGTTGCTTAGATGACTCAATCTTAGGGGCCACCACTGTGCATGTAGTCCAGTATTGACAGAAATGTTGTTATATGGTTTGGTTGTACTTGAAAGAGCCGGAGAGGCTGCACAGGAGCAACTGGTCTTTGGAGGCCCCTACAGGTACTGCAGCCACCGTATTGGAGGTATCAATCTTGTCTACTCTCTCATTGTCTTCAGTGGAATATATTCTGGCCTCTTGCCTGTTCTGTAGGCAGCCTCACAGGATCCTATTTGTATCAAATGACTTAACCCTTTCCACCAAATCTGGCTAGTAACCCATTGTGGTGGGTTGAATGAAAATGGCCCCCATAGGCCCATAAGGACTGGCACTATTAGGAGGTTGTGGAGGTTGTGGCCTTGTGGAGTAGGTGTGGCTTTGTTGGAGGAAATGTGTCACTCTGGGGTTGGCTTTGAAGTCTCAGAAGCTCAAGCTAGACCTACTGGCCCTCTCTATCTTCCTGCTGCCTGCTGATTTGTATGTAAAGCTCTCAGCTACCTCTCTAGTACCATGTCTGCCTGCATGCTCTCGTCCTACCATGACATAAAGGACTAAACCTGTAAACTATAAGCCAGCCCCAATTAAATGTTTTCCTTTATAAGAGCTGCTGTGGTCATGGTGTCTCTTCACAGTAACAGAAACCCTAACTAAGATACCCACCAAATTGTGTCTCTTGAGCATCTGACCACAGATAGACAATGGCCATTTACTTAGTGGTAGATTTCAAAACCACTGAGATGGTTTGTAGGAGCTGGAGTCAGAGTCAGCATTATAAACAAACTGGGATTTTCAAGGGCAGAACTGGTGAGCAGGTGTGGGGTGCTGGTACAAAGAGGGTGAGCGGAGCAGATGCAGAGAAAAAGGCCAGCAGTGTCCTCTACGAAGGAAGGGAGAGGGTCAGTATTGGCTTCTGGTGTTGTGTTCCTACTAACAAGGTCCTAAGGCCCAAGAGCATTGAGTTTCCCATTTGCAGAGAGAGCAGAGGCTACCAAGATAGCACGATGTGAAGCACCCTTTTCTGGAGAAGCATGTTTAATAAGCCATAAATGGAAAAAGGAAAAAAAGGGAATTGACTTTTAGACCCCAGACCTGAGTTGAGTATGGACAGCTGTGAGGTGAGGTACTTGGGTAGGGTGAGTGTTGTATGGTGGATGGACGTCTGACTCACCAAGAAGGCCCCAAGCTGTATCCCGAAGCTCTGCAGCTGATTCAGGCTGACATCCAGGAACTCAATGGCACTGGGCAGCGCAGGCAAGGCTGTCAGCTGGTTCTCTGAGAGAATCAGATCCTGCAGGGCAGGCAGCATGCGGAGGGCATCATTGTGGATGGAGGAGATGGAGTTGCTAGAAAGGTCAATCTTTTTCAGTTTTGCTGGAAGATGTTGGGGGAGAATAGAGTGTGAAGCTAGAGCATACATCTCTGCTGGCCCCATGCAGGAGACACTTCCCTCCATCACTTGCTCCAACCTTTTCAGGGAGTTCTAACTATCTTACCACCTGCACCAGGTCCAAGGCTCAGGAAACAAGCTAAATCAGGACTCCTTTGAAAACCATGGCATTCCTCAATAGCTTTCTCCAGAGCTTTGGTTCTGTGGTAGTTAACCCACCTTAAAAGAGTTTTCCCCATCCCCCGACCCCCTGCTTGCAAGGACAAGAACAACCTCAGGAGTTGTTGCATCACCCCAACCCTCCACCCCCTGCACAGCTTTTATGGAGGACAGTGAGGACCCAAAAGACTACCCACAGTGAGAGGTGGAAGGTGGAGGCGAGCCCACCTCAAGCAGAGAATAGGGCTTGAAGTAACAACACAAAGAAAAAGCAAGAAGCCCTTTGAACGCATGAGGGCCATGGAGAGGAGGTTTGGGGGGAGGGTCTAGCCCAGCCCCAGCAGGTGCGGTTGCTGGAACATCCTGGAAATGCTGCCTTGATCCTGGACCCCCAGAACCGGCTCCTCCCACCATTTTAAACTTTTAAAGGAAAGGATTTAGAAGGATTGGGGCCTCTGTTCCTTTGACGGCCAGTGAGCTCAAGTCTGTATCCTAGCAGGCCTCTCTGCCTTGCCATCACCTTTTCTCCAAGCATAACTCACTCAGCCCTTTGAAGTCTCCAGCCCGGATGTGGCTGATGTGGTTGAAGCGCGCATACAGGTAGGCGGTCATCTGGGGAAGACGAGGAATATCCTCGAGGTCTGCATCATCACAGTACACAGAAGAGCCAAGGCACACGCAGACCAGGCAGGTAGGCAGGCCTAGCCAAGTAGAAGACAGACAAGTGACATCTCGGGTCAGACTCCCTCCAGCCCCTGTGGCCAGCGGTCTTTGCCTCGGTGAATATCTAAGCTGTGGACACCTGTGGCTTTTAGATTTCCTATTTTTTCCCCAGATCCACCCAGCACAATGCACCCAGACAATACTCACAGTTGCTCTCAGTCTGTCACTCAGCCCTTGCCTAAAAGAGGACACACCTAACTTGCTCAGGGCAAGTCCCACTGGTGCTTGCATCAGACCCTGATCCTTTGCAAGTTCTCCTGAGTTTATTTCTAGGACCTCTGTCTGTCTGTTTTCCAGAGGATCCTTCTCTGTCAAAGGTACAGTGTGGCTGAAAAAAGCCAGAATTCTGTGGAGCGGTCAATGGTTGCTGCTTCTGTCTTAGGAAAAGGAATTGGCCATGTTCTACGTGACTCCAGGAAGCACAGCAGAGCCAAGGTGGAATGGACCGTGCCTGCCTAGCTTCCATTTCCTCTTGGGATGTCATCAGCATCCCGATTTTCCACGTGAAAACAGCCCTTGCCTGTTCGCTGCCCTGGTGCTCTCTCTGTACCCAGCAGTCAAGAAATCCAGACAGCTGAGCAATGTCAGTGTCACTTGCTATCATAAGATCACAGAGATTACTGAGGAAGAGGCTTGTATCCAAAAGGCACTGGAAGAAAGTTCACAGCCCAGAAATGAAGCAGCAGGAGGGACCAACCAGGGCAGGGGACAGAGAGGCCCAATGTCCTTTTTCTTCCAGGGCTAAGAAGGGCAGGTCCAGCTGAGACCCTTTACTTTCTCTTCCAATCTGAGATAGAAGCTGTGGGGGTTCATAGACTCCCCATGGGACACCTCAGGTGATCTCAGTACCCAGGTCTATGCTGGCAAACATCCAAGAGGAGACCAGGACATGAAGCACCAGCTGGTCCAGAATAAGCTGCTTTCCTCCTGTGTCCTAGGTTTTGGTCCCCAACAGAGTCAGGGATGCCGCACCCCAGTCCCTAGGAAGACACTGGGGAAGAGGGCGGGCTGCTAACAAAGGTGAATTTGAGACTGAAGCCAGTTCTCTGCTTCATTTGCTCCCATGCCAAGTGACAACCATAGTTATTTATTCTCCTCTCCAGGCTTTTAATCTCTCTAATCTAATCACCACTCAAACTACTCCTCGAGTGATGCTGTTAATTAAGGTAAGGTGTCTCTGCAAGGGTGTAGGAGTTCTTGCTTGCTTTGTGTCCCACTCAATTTGTGCATAATATTTATGCAGAAGTGTCAGGGACAGCCAGCCACTCCCTATGGTGGTGGTGCTTGTTTTCACCATGACAGTTTCCCCTTTCCCCTTCTTTTCCTACTGGCAAAGGCCAACCCAGACCCAAGACTTTCTGGCCTTAGCCCTCACCACAGCCCATGTTAGAACTCCCTGGTGCTAGCCTGAGGTTGCTTGGCCCCTGATCTGTGGCTACTGTGACCTGATTGCACGCACTTACCATGACTGCTCTGGGAGTTCAGTAGGCCAGCGGTGGCAGGCATGGTCGTTGTGAGGTGTGCTGACGATGCCCTCGGAACCACAGTGCTCTGGGTGAGACTAGTTCTTGTTGGAAGGGTCGTGCTGTTTACTTCAGCCTGGAGACAGAGCAGAAAGAACACCACAGGCCAGCCAATGTCTGAGAAGAACTTAACTGTGGCCTCTGGAAACCTCAGTGATCAAGTTCTAACATGTGGAGAGGAATAAGAGGAGGGAGAGAGAGTAAAAAGAGCAAGCAAGGAAAGGAGCTTAGAGAGCATGGCATCTGTGTCCTCCAGACACAAGTGAGGAAACTGAGGTCACGAGAAGAGAGCATGAGGGTCAAGAACCCAGAAGGTCCCCACATAGAGCTGAAGTATAGATCTCTGGGTCATCCAGGCTGGTAGTCATTCCCTTCCTCTCTGCATTGTTCAGGTTGGCACTATTCCCTACTCTACCCAGACCCTGGTCACATCACAAATGGGAAGAGGCTTCTGGGTTTAAGTACCATGCTGCACAGGTCAATCTCTGCAGAGGACAACAGAGCTGGGGAGAACTTCAGACTGGAAGACAGACTACTGATCAACAAGCTGGCATTTCTCTTTTTTAGGGAGAACATGAAGACAGAGCTGAGCCTCACCTCTCATATTATGATCATGACATGGCTTATGATTCTGTTTGGCTACATGGGGACTCGTCCAGTGGCCCTATTAGGTGTGCCACGTGGACTAAGACACTGGAAGTTAGTGTCCTGTTTTGTAGTAGTGGTGAGTGACAAGTTCCTAAGGAGGGATAAGGATTTGTACTTTATGTCCAGGAGGATAGCACTGTTGTGTTGTGAGTATAAACATGCTTTTGTTTTGGTGTGGGATATGGGACTGATTCAGATGGTCCACAGCACAAATTATTTGCCTCATTCGGGCTGAGAGGAGTTTTTTACCAGTTTCAGAAACTCTGAATTTGAGGACTCTGGAGAGAGAACAAATGCCAGAGCCCAGAGAGTGTGGGGCTCTGAGAAAGAGCAAGGCTGCTGTTTCTCCCCTTGCTGCTCCTGGTTGTGAGACAAGAAGTTGGAGATCTCCTGAAACAAGGATTGGACTGGCTCCAAGGAACCCAATGACCCTAACCAGCAGGAAGCAGCTAAGAGAACTGAACACCCTCACCCACTAACCCCTTCTCTCTCCTACCTGGCATTGGACTGTTGGAAGGAATTGGGGTGGGTGGAGAGGAAGAAAAAGATAAAAAGAAATGTAAATAAAAGAGTTTTTAAAAAGTATGTCTACACTGTTGTAAAGTACTCGCCTTGCAAGATGAGAGCATGAGTTTGACCCCCAATCTCTCGTTTGTTCGTTTTGCCAGTATCTGTGATTAATGCTCATAATCTCGGTGCTGAGGAGGCTTGCTGGCCAGCTAGCCTAGGTTATTTAACAAGCTCCAGGCCAGTAAGCTACCTTACTGAGAGACCCTGTTTTAAGCAAAACAAGATGGACAGCTCCAGTGGAACAACACCTAAGGTTGGTTGTCCTCCAGTTTCCCCACACATGTGTATTAATAAACACATACATACACATATTAATAAACACACACATACACAAGAATTTACATCATATAGAGAAAGGGGGCTTGAGAGATTTATATAATAGGGCAGGTGGAAAGGAAGCTGGCCCCTAATCCCATTTCTTTTGGGGATTCCAAGCCAGCTGTATCACCTCACCTCAGAGATTTGGTCCCCATAGTCTGCAGGCTCCTCATAGCTGCTCAGGTCGATGACTTCGCTGTAGTCCTCTGGGCTCAGGGCATAGTTCCCCACAAGCAGAGATGCATATGTGTCATCCTCCTCGGGGCTCTGCTCTTCTCTTGCCCTCTCCCCTGGGAGAGAAGCTGTCCCTGCTTCCTGCAGCGTCAGGGTCAACAGACTCAGGAAAACCAGGGGCTTCATGAGGTTCTGGGGTAGGAAGAGCAATGGGAATGTCTGAATCCTTTTTACATACATCCTGTGGGTAGGTGATAGAAGGGCCGTTATTTGAGCTCGGCTCGTGGGAATGGCCCACAAAGTTATTCAGCCTCCAACCTGCAAGCTTGCTCACTCTTGGCCTCCATCTCACAAGCATACCCAGCATCTTCATCTCACACTAAGGCTCCTTAAAGACATGGCTGTGTCTGGAGGCATCTTTAGCTGTCACACCCACTGTGGCTCACAGTGCGCTCAGGCTCCCACAGACAGCTTCCATAGGCTGGCCTTCTCATCTTAACACAGACGTGCTTGCAAAAGACCCCTGTCCACTCGCCTGCACACTGGACACACTTGTGCATTTCTACAGATATTCTCTAGTAGTGACCGCATATTCAGGAAAAAAAAACAAACAAAAAAACCCTCTTCATCTAAAACCAAACCCAAACCACCACAACAACAAAAACAAAAGCTAGCCTTAGAGAAACTACATTAAAGAGACTTTTGTTTCCTTTTGCTTCTGTTTTCATGAGAGGGTCTCATGGTTGGCCTCAACCTTATGATATGGTGAAGAAGGACCTTGAACTTCTGAGCCTTCTGCCTCCCTAGTGCTGGGATTATAGGCCTGCACGATCATGTCTGATGTATGACACGCTGGGTATCCAGCACAGATCTTCATGCATGCTAGGCAGCTTGCTGCTGACTGAGCTCTCTCCCTAGCCCTGCTTGTGGTTACTGTAAGGTCACTCATTCATGCAGTCACTTAAGCATCCATCGGGTGTCTATTAAGCTGTAGCCTCTGCAGGTGCCCAACCCTTTTCAGGAATAGCCAGTCAGTTTGGAGACAGAGTCTTATAATCCCACATATGATGTCAAAGAAGGATGTTAGCTCATAAAATAGACTTAGAAATGCCACTTTTAGAAACACACTGCAGACAGCAGAGAGCTAGTGTGTGGCTATGGAGTGTCTTCTATCAGGAAAGCCTGGTGGCTACCTGTGTACATGTGTGTGCACATGGGTTACTGCAAGCACAAGGCATTCATACAAGCACAAATGTCTGCACAGACATGTGGCGGACTGTGTGCTAAGGGTGCTGGAGTGCCCACACCCTTGTAGCCAGCACGTCTGATCGCACAGCCCTTCTAAAGTCTGATGTTAGATTTCTTCTTAATCTCAGCTGGACTGAAGGGTAAGTCCTAACAATAGTAAGAGCTGGTATCTTTGTCCCCACTCCCACGCCCAACCAAAATACATGCTCTCTCAAACTGTCTCCACGGGCCACTCGAAAGCCTCTCGCTCTTTGGTTAGAGACTTGTACTTTCTCCATCCGTTCCCCCAGCCCTGACTGTCCCTTTATTTGCATGTCAGTGCACATGAGGCCTCCAACCTTTGACCTTACCTTTTAGATGCTTTTGGTTCCTCCTGACCCTGCAGCTTCCAGGGAGATAAAGGCTCTGATGGAAGAGATGACTTCCCGTCAGTCTAGGGGACAGCTAGACACTCCCTCATCTATTGGCCAGCGAGAGGATAAGTAGTTGGCCCAGGGAGCCATGTGTCTAATTAGATTTTCCATTCTTTGAGATGTCCTGCTGTGTCCCTTCCTTTCACCTCAGGGGTCCCTAATCTTATTTCTTTACTTAATGAACAGGAATTTTTTTTGCTTATTCAAGCACGCACACACACACACACACACACACACACACACGCACACACACACACACGCCATGGCTTCCACACCTTCTTCTCTAGTCTTTGAGGGTTTGTCAGTCAGATTTAGAATTTTCCAGAAGGCTGAGTTGAGGGATGCTGTTCCTATTCCCCACGCCATCCCCTCAGGAATGATGACGCTTGACTTCATAGGTGGAATCCAAAGAGAAAGAAGTGTGGCCTGGGGCACGGCAACCAGTGCTACCCCAGCACGCCTGGAATTGTATCAAACAAAATCACCAAGGAAGGTCTTAGGGCTCCAGTGACTTCAAGGGCAACAGGGTAGGATTTGAAGACCAACTTCAAGTTCACAGATGGTGGTCACCAAGAACAAGACAGGAAGTTCTCTAGCTCCTGTAGGAAGAAAGGACAAGGCAGGGCTTTGGCTTACAGGCTCATAAGGCATTGTGCCATTGTGCATGGTCTCTGGCCTGGAACTTAACCCTTCCCTTCCCACCTCGACTTCCCATCTTTCCTTGCAATATGCCCCAGAGGAGGGGAGGGGCTGGAGAATGTGCTCTTGATTCTGGTGCATAGCTTCTCTGATGCTCTTAACTCCCTCCTCTTTTCTTGTGGCCACATCCTGAGTCCCAGCTTTGAGGCCCCCTGAAGATCATCTATACAAACTCCTTATTGTAGAGGAGGAGACAGAGGGCCAAAGAGTGGAAGTGATTGGCCCAAGGTCACCCAGAGCCAAGGCCAGCACCACATTTTGAGTGTTTTCCAGGATCACAAGGTTCACCTTTTTCAACTTCATCCCAGGAATCCTAAAAACACGGTGAGTCTGTGCATTCAGAACAGATGGCCTTGGTAGAAGCCATCCCCAGCTTGCGATGCCAGGTGAGTGGGCAGACCTAACAGCTAGACCCTGAGAAGGCCTCAACTGGTGTGGGAAGGGCAACCCAAGAGGCCACCTGCCAGACCAAGGCTGTTTGTCTCAGAGATCCCCCAGCTGGGGAGTATCAGCTTCCAGAAGCTCAACTGTGTGGAGGGAGATTAACAGTCCCCAGCCAGGAGGACGCCCTCGAAGCAGATGGCACATTTGGCTGGCCCTGCTCCTTCTTTCTTTTCTTCCAGAGACCCTCGGGTCTCTACAGACAGAAGGGAGTGTCCCCTCCCACCTCCATGCTATTTATCCATGCAAGGAATGCAGATGAGGCTGTTCATTCATTCCCCCTACCACCTGCTCCCACCCTTCTCCCCGCTCTCTGTGACACACCCTCTCCACACTCCCCCCTCCTCGTCGCCTCCCTCCTCCCCCGCACTCCTAGGCGGCGCAGCCAGTTCTGCACCGCGCATGTGCGTGCTCCCACGCCATCCCCACCACCTCCCCACCCCGAAGCAAACTCCTTGCATTGCAGGCTGTCATCCTACACTTTCTCCCAGCTTCTATTCCCGCCTTCGCAAGCTCGCAGTCGTTCCCATGGATTTTCAGGGGCGCTGGTGGACGGGAACGCGGACCTGTGTGGGAAGCGGCCCGCACAGCCGCTGATCCGCGAGCCTGGCAAGCGCTGCCCTTTAACAGAGACACGAGCTGTGCTGATGGAGTGGGGGCAGCAGGCCGCGTGGACGGAAATCAGCCCTGTTGTGGGCAGTGAGAGAGGAGGGCAGAAAGTTCAGCGACACTTCTGCCTTTTGGTATTCGCTGCTGAAAACTAGGAACCCTCCACCCACCCTGACGTGGTCTATACCCCAACCTTTTTTGTTCCCGCTGTTTCCTTCCAAGTCATACGCGTTCTCCTGCTAGCTGGCAAAACTAGGTTCCTCAGAGCCGGCTCTTGTGAGACTTCTCAGGCAGACAGAAAATGTCCCCTTTGAGTTGCAGATAGCTAACGTCATTACAATTAGAAAAACGAATTTGTGGAAACATCCCATCCTCTTATCGAGTTATTGACTCCCCAGGGTCATGAAGCATGCCTCTCCCACCTTGAATTCTTAACAAGGTCCTTCCTGGCACATATCAGGCAGTTAGGGAGGAACGACAGTGTAGGATCTTGTGTAGGATGTCGGTTTTCATCCCACGCTAAATAGCTGTGGTTGGGAGGGCGAGAACGGCCTTCTGTAGCTAAATTCCCTCTAAAGAGAGCCCTGGTAACTGTTCTTGCCTGTTCGAGCTTGTGCATGGCCTGTGGACCTTTCCAGATGATTTGGTCCTTGGCTGTCTGCCCTGGGCACTTCCCATGTATGAGGCGTTTCCCCAATTAGTTAAAAAAGATGACCACACATCTTCCTGTGTGTAAGCCTTGGTGCTGAGTACTGAGAAATTCTCCACAGTTTGATATCCTTGGAGTCAAAGATCCTGGCTGGTTTGGTTTCAAATGGAACGATTAGATTTCTGGTCCGACTTTAGGAATAATTTTTCATGTAGATTATGAGTTTTGGGGACATTCTCTAAGGAAAGGCTCTGGGAGATCTCTCCTATGAGAGTTTGTTTTCTTCTTGAGACAAGATCTTACTATTTAGCTTGGTCTCAAACTCCTAGGATCTGCCTGCCTCTGCCACCTGAGTGCTGGGATTAAAGCTGTGCACCAACATGCTTGGCTCCTGGGAGTTTCTTAATAAGGCGTGACTTGGAGGTTAAGAGCAGCTGTTACCCATTTAGAGGATCAGGGTTCAGTTCTCAGAGCCTACATGAAGCCTCTCAACCATTTATAATTCCAGTTCCAGGGGATCCAGCACCACCTTGTAACCATGGTGGGCACCAGGCACGCACATGGTGCACACACATACCTTGGGCTAAATGCTCAGACACACAAATCCAAAACAAAACAAAACACTTTTTAAGAAAGACACTTTCTCTGCCCATCTTCTCAGCAAGATGCAGGAGTGTGGTAACAAGGAGCTTCCAGGTATTATTGTTGACTTTGACCCATTCCCATAGTTTTTTTCCATATGACTTTATTTCCTCTGCTATGAAGCTGGTCAAAATGGGGAAGCTGTATCAGAGTTAGCATGGTCTTTAAGAGATAGACAGGATATACAGAACACACACACACCTACACATGCACCTACATGTATAGAAGTCAATGGTTCTGATGGAATGAACTTGTGTGAGGAGGGGCTTTCTAGACTTCACAGGTACCAGTACTCTGTTCATGAGTGCATTATGTGTGCACGTGTTCATGCACGAGCATGTCGTGTGTGTGTGTGTGTGTGTGTGTGTGTCTGTGCGCGCGCATGCGCACGCACACGTGTGTCTCCTGTAAAGCCAGTTTAACCCTCACCCTCTAGCTGACAGCAGCAGAAAGCAGTGGAGGAAGGTGGCATGGTCCAGGTTGGATAATGGAATACTGAT